CTACATATATTAAACCAGAATGCTGATTTGTTTACGTGGACAGGCAATTTTCACAGCTGCCAGAAGCAGATGGCATCAACCATCGCTGCTACTCTTCCACCAGCCCAATGCATTACAATCACAGCATAAAGCAGCAGCGCAATGCCAACTACCGAATATGGCCCACGGCCACACAACAAATATGGAGCGCACAACTTTGAAGATACGGATAGAACGGACCTCAAAAACTGACATTTTTGCTGTGCAGTTGCGTTTTTGCCAACTGTCAAAATGAATTGTTTTGGTCGCAGTCGCTGCCCAGCAAGCTCGCTCCTTGCTGGCAGAGGAGAGGGAGGGTACGGAGGCGGTAAATTACATTATCAGAAAAATTAAATTAGTCACCTGCGGCGTCTCCGTCTGCCACGCCCACTGACAGATTGTTTCGCATCGCATAATTGAAGAGAATGCTTTACAGAACAAGACGACACGACACGAAAATTAATTTACATGCTCAAAATGTTCATGTTACGTTTTTCATTAGCTAATTAAAATTGACTTTATCATTTGGTTACCAAATTGGCTTGTTATCGTTGTTGTTGCTGTTGTTGTTGCTACGTTGTTGTACCATGTTATTGTGCGCTGCTCGCCAGCGGCTGTATTCGATCGTTATTTTACCAAAATGATAACAACATTACCACAATACAGTTTTCTATAGATAATTTAATTCATTTAATTTAGTCCCTGTTTTGAGATGCTTGTGTCCATGTTAAGAGCTTTAATGAATGCCTCTTTGTTTACTTCCAATGGACAAATTTTACAAGTAACAGAATTTAGATCGGATGCGGAGTTGGGTATGATGCATGAATACTGCGGAGCTCGCTAAGGATTGCAGAAGAAAATTGTTTAATTCAGGGACTTCATTGAAGTTGATGTAATGGAATATAGATCTTGATTAGCGTTGGGAAGAAGTTAAAATGCTCAGCTTTTAAGTCGTTTACTAACATCTCTAGCCATGTTTATAATGATTAAGTTTCTAAAATGTAGGAAACTTTTTTCATATTTAATATTATTGGAATGTTATCTTATATGCAGTAAGTATTTAAATTCAAACAATGCGCAAAATATATGACAATTCCAGGTTATAGACATAAAAATCAGTTAACATTCACACAAATACACAATGGCAATTACAATAACAATAGCAATGTTAGATAATAGACCGCTTTTATGCAGGACGACCACAAAATTGTCTATAAAATTAATCACTCGACCAAATTGTGCAATTTGCGTAGCCAAAAATTAACTTAAATGTTGCTTTTTTGCATGCACAATTGCACACGAATCTTGTGTGTATGCCTACACACACATGTAGTAGCTCGCGTGTGACTCAGTTATAACCTCTGAGATGGGGAGGAGAGGGTGGGGTAGGGGCAGGAGTGTTCTGATGCTGCCACAAGCATAAGCTGCCCCAGTGTGTGCCTTTACCGGTCCCTGAACGCCACGGCCTAACCCATTGAAGCCCGAAAATGTACGGCAATTAGAGTGACCATTGTGTGCTGGTCAGTCGTTAGCCGCTACGAGAGGTTGGTTGAGGTTGGGGAGGGGGGGGGGGGGCGGGGGAACCAGTGAAGCGGCAGTTGTAGCCAGGCAAACTATTAGATAGCAATCCCGTAGCTGTGTCGTTGTGTCCTGTGCATTTGGCCGCATTTTGTGGCAACTACAAATGGCTCTTTGCTGTTTTCGTCGTGCTGAGTAATTTTTCAAAAAGCCGCCATGCATTGTTATGCAGCCTTATTGTTATTGCATAAAAATGGCGACTTTCGCTTTCTCCCTTACACACACATGAGCACACACTCGCTTTATCTATCGCTTGCTCTCTCTCTCTCTCTCACACTGTCTCGCTGTTTCACATGCAACAGTTGCAAATTGCGCGCAATTAAGCGCCGCAATTAACGTGTTGCAGTGTTTAACCTGTTACATAGCGTCTGCTTTTCTACGTGCTGGCCATTTGAATGGGGGATTTTCTAAATTTTAATGTGTGTGTGTGTGTGTGTGTCAGTGTGTGTGTGCTTAGCGCAATCGACGTCCATTTGTGTCCCCACAATTGTCGCCATTGCAATCGCTTGCAGTTAAGCGTCCACATTTTTCACGTCCTCAATTTTTTTCGAGTTCTTCTGAACATTCAAACGCATTATTTTTAATGCCAATTATGTACACACTGGCCAGGCCGCAATGCCAGCGTCTATAAATTGGCAACAAATGCAGCGGCCTCTTGATTACACCCATTATGTTAATTGCCGTACGTGTCGGCTGCATCTGCCATGCCACGTAATCATTTTCCATTTAACAAAAATTTGTGCCAAACACTTTGAAATGTGCCTACTCTAAAGCTCTTGCTCTCCTTCGGACTATCAAATTAAGTAGAAGTTACTAATCCAATAAATAATAATCAAAAAGTATTATAGATGCGCTGGCATTCAATCCAAACTTGTTGAGGATTCTGGTTTGAATCCTACTCTTGGAGTATGAAGACTGGCATTATTTTCCATAATGTACATATTATTGAGTCCTATTTACAAGAACTCAATTTTGATCGTTCTAAAAAATGTATTCAAAAGTCCTGCAAGTCCCTAAGAGCAATAATAAGCTTTAACTATAAATTGCAGACACATATTGCAGATGGCAGGAGCTACGAATATCTCAAAATATTTCAATGCCTGAGGGCAATACAAAAAAAATTGACAGACATCATACATCTGCAACCTATAATACCTTTTTTAAACTCACGATATTTCACCTATAATACCTTATCTAAACTTCTGAAAGCCCGCTTATAAATGCGCAGGGAATAGAGATAACTTGTTTGTCTATCTACCTCTATCGTAATATGATTTTGCGATTAATTAATTTCTCTTGTCATAGATCAAGTAGCATCAAGGCATAAACCAGCCAAATGTCCATGCACAGAAATGTTTTCGTTCGTTTCCACAGGCTATTGTATTTCTAATAATTCCTGCAGCAGCCGCATATTTTGCTTGGTTGAGTTTTGCATAGTACGTGATTTAATTATGAGGCAGGAATTGTCTGTAGGGCAACTGTAGGGGGGTCGTTGCTGTTAGGGCGTGGCAGTGGGACGGCTTCGCTTTTTCTGGCCGCCAGTTAAATATGCGAATATTTTTCGCTGGCATTGAGGTTACATTGTTGATGTGACCGCAGACGCAGCTCGGACGCGGCGTGCATACCCGTGCGTTTACATTTCATAGCATACCTTTGTGCGCCCGTGCATATTTTAAATGAAAATTTCGACATATCTTAATTATGTGAACATTACAGCCAAATGGATTAAATATTAACTATGTTTTACTAACTGTGGCAAAATATTTGTACCGCATTTTATTAATATACATTATTTGCGTGTTTTTGCAGCGTTGTAATTTTATGCAATTTTAAGGGTAGCCAAAATAAACTATTCTATTATTTATTGACTGTCCGCCGGGCACTCATAAAAATTCATAACCCACAAGAATACGCTTGAGTGGCATTCCACACACAAACACACACACACACACTCACACACCACACTCAATCGTGTGTCCATTTCAATTATCTGTCCGCATACACAAAACGTTTTAAGCCATAACGAAACCTCATCAATTGCAAAATGTGTGTAGACAGATAAAAATCAAAATTAAATCGAGCGAATTCATGCGTAAGAATTAATAATTTCCGTTTTATTTGATTCGTAGTTTGAACAAGGAATTATGAATATGCATATAGATGTATGTACCGGAAATTAGAGTGCTATTGGGCATCATAATTGCAAAACCATTTCCCCATTGACATTGTGATTAACTAAAAGAATATTGCCTCTTTTGATGAACACTTAGTATTATTTGTATTATACTTGTTAGCAAAGTGAAAAAAAATTGATTGGTTTTGTGCAATTTCTGGCTCGCGTTGTTACGAGATTTCAAAGTTTGAATATATAGTCGTGTATACCCGCTTCAAAAAATATGTTATTATATTTTTATAAATCTGGACTGTAGCCTATAATTCAATGGAACGTGCTAACAACATTCGCGCTAGTTTTTTTTTATTTGAATTTTTTAATCTATTCATATTCATAATAAATCAAGTGAATTAATATATATTCCAGCACACAAATAATCGAAATATTTGAACATTACCAAAAATTATTTATAATTTTGAGTTAATATGAAATACCTGTCAAAATTCCACGAATGAATTGTTCTTCATATTTACGATATACCATTAACAATATGCCTTGCTGTCATTCGTGATTGCATCCATGAGTGCTACTAAGTATTTACTGTCTGCTGGCTATGCCGGAAAATATTGCATCCAGAGCAAACGTGCGCATCGAAGTTAACATGATTTTTCATTATATATTTGCAACATTTCCGATTCCAGCCATCTTAGAAGCACGTATTAAAAAATGCAGTATAAAAAATCATAGGCAAGTTTATAAATTTTACTTTAGTTATCTAATCTAATCTTATCTTAATATTTTCGTACGTTGTGTTAAACATTTTGGCTGAGCTTAAGTAAACGTATTCAAAACCTTGTGTGGCAATCAAAAGGCAGTACATCCACACAGCGAAACACGCAGAGTTGGAGCCGAAGGAAATATTTGTAGGCAAACATGGTGTTAGCCATGCATCGATATAACCAACATTCTTTATCGTATTTGCTTAGCCAAAGCCAAGCTGGAGTGCTAGACATAACCCAGCCACATGCCCATCCTTTGGCTGAGCCACGCCCCTGCTGGTATATTGTGTTTGCCCTTAGCCTGTATCATTTTGTTTCGTCCTTGCGGAATGGAAGAGTATTTTGTACGATATTGGCTATTGACTTTTTACGCCGTTTGTTGTTTTAAAATTGCTCATTTCATGCACACGACTGAGCACACGTACCCCATTTTTTCCACCACTCGACTAGTGTATATACACACACACACCCGCACTGACACACACACATGCTTGTCAACAAAAGGGGGTGTACTTGAGCGGGGCTTGACAGCCCTTTGACTGCTGCTTTTTATTGCAGTTGACTTTTGAAGTGTTTTTTATAAAATGGACAGTCCGCTGATTACAAAATTGTGGCAATCGCCAGGCTACTTGGTTATGCAGCAGACATCACAAAGGCGCTAACTGCAGGCCATCGCCATGGCATATAGATGAGGTGTGGAGGTGTGGCAAGCAGCTCGATTACGTGCCGTCGCAGGTGCATGAAATTGCACATGAAATTGAGTTATGATACTTGTCTCAAGAGTGGGCGTTGAGGTGCGTCGGCTCGCCTTGATTGCGTGTAAATGATGCGGCCCAAAATAATTTTAAATTAAAAAAAAAAAAATTACAAAGCAGCTGCTCGGGCCAGGAATACATATTGCTTAAATCACAGCTGCTTGGGGCTTGATTAACGGCCAAGTGCCAAAAGAAGTAAAAGCTTCCGGTTAACAACTTGCAGTTTGATTGGCATGCCTCTCATGTGGCAGTAAGGATCCAATGGGGAGGCAAAGGGCGCACAAAGACTTGCTTCATCAACTGTGGAATTTAATTAATGAGCACAATTTACTTTCTAATTAGTGCAACCACTCGCAAGCACCTTGGCGATATTTGTGATTGATATGCCAACATTCAAGTGGAAACTCAGTTATTTTAAGCCCGGACGACAACGCACTGCACCAAGCGCGCTCGGGCCAACCACTTTTCGCTGGTAAATTAGTTCAAGTGCGTAAATTACTTTGAGCTACCTCAGGTGATTGCCACTTTGCCAGTGTGCCAAATTGTGTGGCTGCGTGTGAGCCGGGCCTTAATTGAAATTTCGGTGGCTGGGCTCCAGCATCTCCACCGATTGACTCTAGGAGTGTGTTGTTGCTTTGCGGTGGAAAAAGGGTAAAGGTTTTCACTTTAAACTAAATTAGGCAGGACTGAGCAGAGTTTTGAACTGCAAACAGCTGTGATTTTCTTTTTTTAACTCTTTTGCCGTTATCCAGCTATTTATTTATATTTACCTAAAAATTTTACGGCCAGCCTAGTGAATGCTGAGGAAAACAGCATGTGGGTAGCTAATTGAGTATTTACAGTCAAATTAAATTTTAACATATCATATTATAGGTTTATTACATATACGAATTGCAGTCACATAACTTAAATGACATTCACTGCAATTGCAAATTCCTTTAATTTCTTTACTTGACTACAGGTTCAAACTATGCCGAAAATTTCAAATCTGTCCTTTGACAAAGCAAACAATGCCTTCAATAAGTTCACGCGTTTTAATTGCATTCTATTTAGTCAGATTTTGCCGAATGTCTTGCAATTCACAACGTACAACAATTCCTCGACAGTTTAATTAAGAAATAGAAGCCACCTGAATTCCTTTGTGTTAAATTCCTCGAATTTTAGGGTTTTGGCAATCAAAAAGGACAATTTGTATTAACTTGGTGGCAAGGCCAAATTGCATTGGCTGTGCATTTTCATTGCTTTAACCTGCATAGTTTACAATAAAGAAATATTGATGAAAGTGGATGATGAAATAAAATATGCTAGTTAAGATTTCCGAAGCGATTTATTGTTGTATATTCATAACAGAGTTTCTTCTGACTGACGGACTGAACTTTAAGAGGTACGAAGCGGAAGTTTTACTGAAGCTTCCTGTAGGGTTGACATGGTTCTGGAAAATTCGAACCGTATGTAGCGAAAAACGGAGGTCAAATTTTGTATAAAAATGTTTTCTAATACTGTCCTGCAATCAAGGCGTGAGCCTATGTGGCTTAGGGTTTTGGCGTCGGACCTAGGAGAGAAGGCGCCGGTTCAGCTTTAGCAGCTATTGCCAATTTTAATATTTGTTTATTATTTATTATTATTGTTTTCTATTTTACTTTTGATTTTGTAAATTAAAATTAAAATTAAATATTATACAAATTATCAATTGCTAAATATTATTACTATTTCATTCTGGATGCGATGGAGTTGATAGCAGGTACAAGCTGAGTTAAAAATTAACATATTAGTTTTAGGTTTTATCCAAATTATGTTGGCTAGAACATGATCAAAGTAAATTCAAACCTTAGCCTTACCTTTTGAACTTTTCTAGCTACCGCTGTGGTTCATCAGCTGACAGGCAATTGAAAGGCTTGTCCTTGGACGCATACATCCAATTAACTTCACATTGTGCAACATGTCCGTGCGCTGGATTAGGTGAAGGCTTACCAACATGAAGATATCTAACATGTGTTTCCGTTGGCTTCAGCTGGGCAAGCGGCAAAGGTTACTTTATTATTGCATTAGCCGGGCGGTTGCTGCTGCTCTTCATGCTGACCCTGGATCTATAGTTGGGGCTGAGGGTGCTTCACTTTTCGATCTGATCCCAGTAAGGTTGACATTTTGGCCCGGTTGCCTTTTAACAGCGCATGGTTTGAATTACCTGCATTGTGCACTCTGCTGCCTCGGTGCATGTACAAAATCACGAAATAACTAAAAATGTAGTAGTAGAAGAGATGACTCGACTAGCAGATACCTCGATAGCTCGAAATACACTTAAGTGCTGACGTACTCACAAAGGTATAAAGGAAATATACCTCGAAAAAAATAAGTGAGAAACTCTCGTGATTTTTTAATACAATTGTATTATTAGTATTGAATGTGCTTTCTTCCGACCTCGTGGATCTATTTTACCTTCACTTTGCCCTTATATATACCGTCTGCAAGAATGTAAGATTCTTTCCTGGTCCAAAAGCCTCAAAATGAGTAAGTAGCACGGACAGTTTCCCAAAATGTGCTCTGGCATCGCGTCGTTCTTGTTTTGCTTGTGTAGATGATTATGGAGTTATTAATACGCTGTTAGGATTTTTGCTCCAAAGGGAGTCTGCTGTGTCTCAGACCCTCAGAAGTCTTTGGCGTATCTTGCCGAAAATTATGGCTGATAAGATATGGGTCATTCTCACAAAAATATTTGATTGCTAATATACATAAATACAATAAATAATATACAAGTATACAAATTTGCGACTTTCTTAACTTTATTTTTGTTTTGGGTAAAGCGAGGTTTAACAAATTAAAAAAATAAGCATGAACTGGATACAAGCTACATGCCAGACTCTATCATTTTGAAAGATAGACTTACCAGATAGATATGTATAATATAGTTTTTATTATGCTGTAGCCATCTCTCACAAGGTAGCATATACTACCCCGTCTGTCACATTTTGTGGGTATAGGGTAAAATAAGGCCGGCCAAATTGACAACATGATTCGAGTATTATGACAACAATTGAGTTCATGGTGCCAGTTTGGTTGCATTTTAATTACTGAGTTGGCCACAAAAGTATAAAATAAATTAGTTTGCTTTCAACTTTAGCCAATAATTTATTAATGACTTTAAAAATTTTTAAATGCTTTTGTAAAACGGTTTTTATTTTTGTGCTGCATGCAAATTGGCAAAAAAAAAAAACTGTTAATATGTAATTTTCAATATGTTGGCATTATTTTCTAGTTACTTAATTGCTGCAAAGTAGTAAAACGAATTAAATATTCCGTTTGTTGTATTAAATGCAGCAATTAAAAATACAAGCATGAATTAAAAAGGCTTACAAAATTCGCAGACAGACAAAGAGAAGAGAACGCCAAAATATACGAAATATATATACATTTATACTATAATATATATAAATGTGTGTGTGTGTGTGTGTGTGTTAATACAGACAAAAGCGCCGACAGGCTGAATGCCACACCCACTGATGCGACGCTTGTGGGTCGGAGAAGGATATGGTGGGGGGCAGCAAACGCAAATACAAAACTGATTAAATATGCACTTTGCAGCGTGGAAACGCGGAATAAATTAAAGTGTTAATTTAACATGACATATTAGTGTTGCCCACCCTCACACAGAGACGCACACACACACACACACACAGTCAAATACACACAAACGTACACCCACACACTAAAATAAGCACACACTTAGACATGAGTTAGCTTTGGCTTTTGGCTTGGGTTTTAGCACTGGTCTGTCTGGCATTACTGCCTGATTTTTGTATGTGCTTTTGGGTGTGTGTGCGTGTGTCTGTGTGTGTGTATTTTTGGGGACGCATTTGCTCTGCTAATGAGCTACGCTGCAGCTTCTGGTTTGAGGCTGCGTGGCATGGTTACAGCGCTGGGATTAAGCACACCAATGGCCAAACCCGACGTTGCCGTGTGGCAAGGTGTTTGAAGTAATTACGCGTACGCTGATGTATTAGCATTTTCAAGCGTAATTATTGTTGTTGCTGCTGTTGTTGTTGTTGCAAAAGCTGAGCGCTGGTGTGCAGGAATTACAACAAAAAATAAAAAGTAAACTTTGAAGTTGGTTTAATTGAATTTGCGGTTTTTAACTGCCACTTGTTTCTGAGCGCATGTAGAGCTGTACGTTTGGGAAAGTGTGTGCTCCTGTGTGTAAGCATATGTGTGTGGTTGTTGGTGGCCTAATGCATTTAGCTAAGTGCTTTGAAAAATTTGGCTATTACGCTTTATATTTGTGCTTTGCTCGAGAGAATGCTAATAATGAAAAAATAATAATTAGGTCACCAGATATTTTCGTTTAACAAAACCTTATTGCATTCTATGAAATTCTCCTATATATGCTAGATGCATAAGGAGTAATTCAATTATTAGAATTGTTTGCGACTTTACGGAATATACACATTTTCATAAATAGATTTTAAAACTAAATTTTGTTTGTTAATATTTATATGATATATGTTTGAAAATCAACCATGCAAATTAAAACTATGTTGAAACTAGAAAATGAAATTTTAAAAAATAAAGTATGATAGAATTAAACTAAACTTTGCAGATATAGAATTTTTACTATTTGCATACCTAGTTGAGCCTAGCGTGCTGAGCACAGTTGGTTCCCATATTAAAGCTCTGAAAATAATGATCGGACTGTATATTAATATATATGTTATATAGAAGGAAGCTGGGCACTTCAGCGCTGCGTACAGACTATGTCCTAGTCAGACACTACCGACTTGTTCCTAGCAGTAAATTGCAGAGCTAATCTATGGATGAGTATAATCTCCGCTTAGATTGCACTGACGAGAAATTTATGAAGTTGTCAATGCCGTCAACAACGAACTAAACAAAGCAAAGCCCTCAGACTAAGACTCGGATATGTGTATATTCTAACTGGGACGTGATTAAATGTTGGCGCTTACGTTTTATGTGAGCTGCGAGATGCCATAAACATGGCAGGTGGAAAGTGCTAGGGCAATTGGTCACGCTTAATCGCCTGCTCAATGGATGGCAGCAAGAATAGCTGCAATTGCAAGGGTAACAGGAGCGAAATCAAGTATACGCGCCGTGTACATAATTCTACGCATTGGCAACGACACTAACTTAAATGCCAGTGACCAGGGATTGAAAAGCACGGAGGCGGTTGGACACAGGTAGAATCATAGGTCTGTGCGACAGTTCAATGCAAATAATGAAAAGCGAAAGCATCCTGGGAGTTTTATTACAATTGATCACCTGTTACGTTCATTGGTAATTGCACCCAGAGCCATACTAAACACGTACACACACGCATGCAAACGCATGTCCACACACATCTATTCACTCACACGGTTGTCCGATCTGAGTGAGTGAACCGACAGTGCGCATGATGCCCAACACCCAAACCAATCTTCGCTTTAAACTCCGCTCTGAGTCAATGTAGTCGCCGTTACTCCTCCGTTTGGCTTTGGATTTGCTACATGAGGTCAGCTTTTGTGTGCTGGCTGCCTGCATGCTGCAAGCTGGAATCGTCCTGGTGGCTGTGTGCTTGCAAATGGCATACGACTGCTGATACGGGAGCCCAGAGTCGCAACCAGCGCCAGTGCCTCCATATCCAACCAATGTTCGCCATTTTACAGTTGCCGTGTGTGCTCCCAATATGGCCCCGGGACATTTGTTACAGTTGAAATGCGCTCGTAAAATGTTTTTCGACTGCTCTGTTGGTTCTGCTCCAGCAGTGGGTTAAAAATGCAAAGTGTGGGCGAATGTTGTCCAGTTGTAGGGGCACGAT